TTTGTATGTTCCTACTTTTTAATCAATTTGACTATCCAAAAAAACCATGAGAAAAACCTTCTGCGGAAATTTATTCGCAGAGGGTGTGTGTTCTGTTCATTTAACGGCAATTCTTCTGAAAACCCAAAAACTACAAAGCACTGAAAAACCTGCTTCTGACATGTAAGGTGTTTTCACACATACCTATTGTGGTCCGGGAGCCCTTCGCACTTTTCGTTTGGGTCCGAACCGCAAGTCAATTGTGGTGAGAAAGTGCGCCAGGACCGACGTTCCGGATCAAAGAGAATGATTTGTGGTCGGAACTAAAGAGGTGGTGTCTCGGTTCCGGATCAAAATGAACCAGGTTCGGTTATTTTCACGTATGAAAGAGCTTTTGTTGGATCGGTTCGGGACTTTGGGCCACATTAACAGGAAGTTAGGCATAGCGTCCCATAGAAGAAGAACGAAAAAAAAAGGAATGAAGAACCCCCGCCAAGAACAAACAAAGAAAAACTGGAGGTCGTGGCGCTCTACGTGGGAGAGGAGGAGAGTGTTTGAGGTTTGTCATTGTTGGTAGTTAATTAGCCATAATACACGCATACGGGGATGTTGGTTCATTCATTTGCACTTCATACGGAAAGAGTGACCCGCAAACATGACAAGGGGGCGCCAGAGTCGGAGGACGCCACGCCCGTTCTACTCACCAATCAAAGAGACGCACAGCACCATACGTGGGGCGTGACGACCGGCCGTAGGGGTTTACGATGTGCCAGATGGAAAGTCCCTTTTAGTGGCGCTAGCAAAACTTACATGGTGAAACCGAAATACCATTTGGGGATCAGAATGTCGATACAATGTAATTAACACACTGAAGCGTTGGTCCGATCTGTGTCGGTCGCGGAGCTTCTTAGGTGTGAAAACGCCTTAGATGTGTCACGCCAAAGGTAAGTAGGGAAGATGTGGAGTCGGTGCTACCTTGCTGTTGGCAAAAGGCAGAAAGTGCACTACTTTTACAAACTGGAAGGAGAGTGCAAGTATTGCTGGCTCCAATGTGTGTGAAAGGCACTTACAGGTAGACCTGAACTGAAGGTTCTGTGTAATCGTCTTTTTGAGGGTTTTTTTGGTCGTTTTTTGTAAATATGTTTTGTTGTATTATTCGGTACTCAATACCTTTTTTTTAAGGTATCAACTTGAAGTAACCAGTACTGATTGGATTGAAAGTTCTAGTCTAAAACGCTTAATGCTTTCTTAAATACGGAGCGTAGGCGGGAAAGAAACTATTGTATGTTTCTATCACATCTCACTGTTTTATCAGATACATTGAGAGAGGTTATTATTTCGTTGAATTTTTTTTTTATTACTGTGATCGGACTTTCATCCTGATGTACTGTACTGGCTACAGCACTGCACAGGTTGTTCACATATGCATCTGTTTACGCATATGGGTTTGTTAATAAACTCTCAAAGTTCAAGGTTGTACTTTGTGACTGCTTACCCACTGAAAGTTGAAGCTAATTGTGGCTACTTATTCTAACATATTCAGTTTACTTGAAAAAAGTTGGGAAACTGATTGCCTCACTTTATCCAAGTAACCATAGCTTGTCTTTAGTAAGATAAATGAAGGTCTAAGAGTAAACTTACTTAAAAACAATCTGTTCACCTAACTTTTAGTTGTTTACTTTAATTTGGCTTGGAAGTTTACTTTAAAAAAAAATGAGGAATCGGTTTCCCGACTTTTTTTAAGTAAACTGAACTAGTTACAATTTACAGTGTAGGAAAAACAGGGTGGGGCTTCAATGCATTGGGTCTCTGTAAATAATGTTATAAGGAGTTCAGTCTAGACCTTTTGTACGTACTGTAATTTTTATAAATAAATGCTGCAAAATACAAATATGTACTGATGCTTCTTTTGAATGTTTTGGGGCCTTTTTTGCCTTTATTGACAGGACAGTTCAACATAGATAAGGACTTGCGGCAAAGGGTCACAGGTCAGACTTGAACCCAGCCTGTTGTTCTTTACTCAGAGGCTGCGTGGCTGACACCGGGAAGGGCTTGGCAAAGCGTCAGCAGCTTCACACTGTGTGTGTTGCCTCTGGTATCCACTGGCAACCTTTCAAAGCAAATCCCTGTTTCTATGAAAGACAGAATAAAAAGTCTTTCCCAACCATTTTTTCACTTTGATTTAACTTTCTGTAATTGATATTTTGACCCTAAGTTAAATTGTTAAGTTGTGCAGCTGGAGGGTTCATAATTTTGTCAAATGCAATGACACAAGGCAGCCTTTTTGCAGATCGGGGCTTTAAATGCTCAGAAAAGAATTTTTAACCCTTGTAAGCACACAGTGAAAGCACTTCAACTCTTAACTGTTTCACCAGCTTTTAATTTTTTAAATAACAAAATAATCATCAATTTATGTCAGAAACGTATGCAGCTAGACAATAGTGAGAACCCGTAAATAGTATTAAATCTCCCATAAACTCTTTAGGTGTAAGATAAGAAATCTTAAAGGCAAGACAGCTAAAAAATGTAAATGTTAATATTGATTGTTGAGTTTCATCCCCAGAGTATCAAATGCTGGGAATTATCAACTATCTTCAAGCTTCCAACCCACAGCATCTTTAGATATTTTTTGGCTCAGATTGGTTGTTTTCATTAACCCACTGTGAATTCTTGCAAATCCCATTAGGAGCACTAGGAGGAGCCAGAGGAACCTTTTTTTCACAGATTGTCTGTCTCATGAATTATTGTCAGAACACGGTGCAAATTTGAGAAAATACAACAAAAAGTTGTTTTTAGAAAAGTTACCTACTGCA